CATGCTGCTGTCTGGAGCCCATCATGCCCTGCTCCGTGAGCCGCCCCACCTTGTCCTCTCTCTGGGGTGAGAGGTTGTATTGTCTGCTGTATAGATTGGTTGTCTGAATGAGGCTGAGGGTCTTTCCCAGGGGCTTAGCGTCTCGGCGAGGGGGCTGTTACAGTTACGCAGGCCATGGGAGATGATGTGTGCCCTGCTCCGGGGGCTCGGCCTTTGTGCCCATCTGAGAGAGTGAGATGGGCCATTTGAAAGGCTGGCAGTGTTTGGGGTGATGGGATTGGGTAATTCGTAACCACATGCATTTCAATAGACTGTGGAAGGTTAGCCAGCCCTCCCCATTATTCCTGCATCCCTAGCTACAACGTTCCTCAACAATAACCCATATCCCAGAGTGCCCGCATTGACCTGACACAATTGCGTAACAGCGGAGCCTGGCCGTATTGTTTTGGCGGTATGTTCACGTATGTATTTTTGGAGTAAACAAGGGAGTATGAGTAGAGGAGCGTTTCTATTTGTGGGCCAAGATTCTTTCTGTCAGTGTTTCAGAGTTCAGATTGAGACATCTTCCTGTATGGCCTCTTGCGCTTTATTTTGCTCTCTTTTTATGTGTCCTGTGGCTCAATCAGTGTATGTACAAATGTGCAGAATGTGGCAGTGTGAGAAAGTGTTTTGATTTCAGATTCATTCATCCAAAGTGAGCATTTTGGCATTGATTTACTCACCCTCAAATTGTTCCAAATACTTTTTTCTTCCTATCATTTGTTGCATTGAATTTGATCAGTGTTGATGGCACATCATTTGAGAGCTTTGGCAGAAGGCAAGAATTATTAGTGGATTTACTGATTTATTTATTTTTTTAATGGCCGATAGAACTTATTGTCCCTTCAATACAGTACCATGTATTATAGAGGCTAATATTTTCAATATTGATACCAGTAATAATGAGTGGAAAGTTTTTTTTTTTAAAACACATTTATGGCAAGCTATTTTCCAATCATTATTAACATACAGTAACTAATATGGTCTATCTGTTATTATTATTATTTACAACAACAACAACAACAGCAAGAATACATCATGTTCTATAATTGTTAATAAATAAAAAATAATAATAAATGAAATATTATATATAGAATTATTATTATTATTATTTTTTTTTTACAAAAACCACAATAAAATATTTATTTATTTATTAATTTGCATAAGAAGATAATTATTTCAATACTGCACTGCTCTGTTTGTTTGAATCCACTGTTCAGAATACTGGATGGAGAAATACTTCCTCTCCTACGCAACTATTGCGTTTTTTTTATACATTTTGTATTATATTTTGTGTAATATTTTTATGTGAGAATTGTTTCTCCTCCAGCATCAGTGTCAGTCTGAAGTATTGATATTTCAGGATTGTGTGGCTGCAGATGTTTTGGCATATAGCAAACATATGGATTACTTCTCTGATGCTGTTATGCTGATTTTTGGTCCTTGACAGTAAAGATTTTTCAAATATTATCCTTATGTTTTCCGCAAAATCAACAGAAACATCGTACAGATTTGGTGAGTAAATGATGACAAGAAAGGTCTTTTTTTGGGTGAACATTGACTTTTGATAGATCCTTTAATTCCTTTTTTTTTATACTGAGTTGTATACAAGCAGTTGACAGACTGCAGTCTATGTCTGTAGGTGTAGATTGTGATGGTATCATCCAGTATCTGTTAAAGACTAACGGATCTCAGACTGGGGCTCCTGCCATTCTCATTGATTGTTTCTGGCTAATTAGATTAGACTAATCACATTAAGTTGGTGCCGAGGCGCGTCCTGATGGAGGAATAGAAATGAGACCGTGTACTGCTTTGGGGAAGATTCAGCCGGAATGGAATGTCAGCTTCCATCATGGGAGGTCTAGAAGTTAAAGAATGGTTTACGCCTGACGTTTCTGCACTAGCACCAGGATTCACGCCAAAAGTGAAGTCATCACCAGGGCTGTTTCTAGGCATAAGTGAACTAGACAGTCGCCTGTAGGCATCTGTCATCGTTTACGCACCGTCATGTCATTCCAAACCTGTATGACTTTCTTCTGTGGAATATAAAAGCAGATATTTTTAAGAATGTTGGTAACCAAACAGTTCAGGCTCCCATTGACTTCTATTATATGGTCAAAAATATAATGGAAGTCAATGGGAATGGAAACTGTATGCATTTACATCTACATTTATTCAATTAGCAGATGCTTTTATCCAAAGTGACTTACAATTGAGGAATGTAAATGATGAACATTGGGTGAACTGTCTTTAATAGTTGTTTTAATTTAAAACTGAGCTGTACATACAAGCAGTTGACAGACTGCAGTCTGTATAGTATCTGTATGTGTAGATTGTGATGGTATCATCCAGTATCTGTTAAAGACTAACGGATCTCAGACTGGGGCTCCTGCCAGGCTCATTGATTGTTTCTGGCTAATTAAATTAGACTAATCACATTAACTTGGTGCCGAGGCGCGTCCTGATGGAGGAATAGAAATGAGACCGTGTCATTGTTGGCACATAGCCGTCAATGTCACACCGTCCCATAGAGTTTCATTTTCGGTGAGGTCTTCAGATAAACCATCTTTGTTTGGTCTGTCCACTGCATCTCATGGGAGAAGATGGCAAGAAATTAACCCGCAAGCATGATTACAGCATTCCTTTCCATTGAGGATCATAAAGACAATAAAAATGGTACAGAATTGAGATTATCTGGCATTATAATGTTTATAGAGCTGGTACAGATTCAGTAGCTGTCTTGTTTACTGTGGCGTCAAACATTTGAAAATTAGACTAGGATTGACTAGTCTCAGTCTATAAATCCAGATGTCGACTCATATTACTGTACATCGAGGAGGTCTGTCTTGTACAGTCATTTCCTCCATATTCATGGATTTTTCTCATGCAGCAATTGATGTCTGCTAAGCTCCGCCCTCTTAGTTAGTGTTGCTCACTCAGACAAACGTTAAAGAATTAAGACACTTGGGAGTTTGTTGTCCAAATGTGTGTGTATATAAATAAATAAATAAATAAATAAATAAACAAATAAATAAATAATATTTATT